AGCCCACTTTCAGCAAGGACAAAGACCCTCTAGCATTCTGGAAAAAAACAGACAAGCAGCGTGTCCCAGGATTGTGCATCCTGGATTGTGCATCCTGGGCCATGAAATACATGGGCATTCCAGCAACGAGTGTGCCAAGTGAAAAGTTGTTTTCCACAGCTAATAACATGGTTACAGCCCAGAGGGAGAAGTTGACGGCAGATCATGTACAACAGTTGCTTTTTTTTGCATGAGAATTTGTAAACATTCGAGATTTTTTTCGATAAATTCGTTATTTGGTATTCAATTCGATATATGGCTTTTTTTTTTCTTGGTTCGATTCGGTATTCGATTCGAGACTTACTATTTCGTATTTGCACACACCTAGTAGCAACTGTAGCCAGGGTTGCCAGATCCTCGAAGAGAAACGAAGCCACAAAATTGATCAAGGTAGCCAGAACAGTAGCCAACCGGCAGCGGTTATTTTATTTTGGAGCCAGAAAATTGGCCAAACATGATTTCAGTTTCGATGGATTATCACCGCATTCGGACGCTTCAAAATACAAGAATATACGTCACAGCAATATTTAATACATCGAAATAGAGTAAAGAAAAACACCAGGCCTGCTCGGTAGGCGCAGCACATTCACAGTGAAAGCTACAAGAGTGGCCTTTTAGAGCCTTTTCAAAACACTTATTAGGTAACTACTGCAAGCACACTTGCTTGGTACCCACTAGGGCATTCATAATAAACTTTTGGGTAGTAGGCCGGCATTCGCTATGCTATTTTTTGTCATTCTTCTGAGAAGCGTGGTATCCCCTAAACGCTTGCAAGGAATTTTTTGCCAATTTTCCATGCAGTGGCTGACAATGATGAGGAATTATGACGGAAGTGAGTATGCGTCACAGTTAATAAGGGAAGAAGAACAAGCTTTTGTGATGGTTTAAAGCATTGGACGACCCACTCGTTACGCTATTCGCATTGTGCGACGACTGGTCGTTCTTTCACTGTTGTAAAGCACTTTATAAGTAGTATTGACGCGATTGCTTTTTAGACATCAAGCCTGCCTAAGGCAAGTTTGACAACAAGTCACAAGCACCGGTGTAGCTCAGTGGTAAAATACTGGGCTGGCACCCAGCACACCCAAGTTCGTGCCCCACTGTGCCATTGATGCTATGTCATGCCTGCCTAAGGCAAGTTTGACAACAAGTTGCAAGCACCGGTGTAACTCAGTGGTAGAATATTGGGCTGGCACCTAGCGGACCCGGGTTCAAGCACCACTGTGTCATTCGTGCAAGATTTTTTTTCTAATTTCGCGCGATGTGGTTACGGACAACGGCGGCGGACAACAATGACTGCGCGTGACCTGAAAAGTGATCTCATAACAGCTTTCGCTGTAAAAAAGATCAGGTGACTTGATGCATCCCAGTAGGTTTATATTTCGATCCAAACTTCCAATGCTGGCATGTCGGCACTCGCATCCTAAACTTGATATAGGTGCCGTACAAGACCTTCTGGGCTTTTCACGTGCAAATGTTTTTTAATTGCGTCTGTGTTAACGGATTATGCAAACAGCAGCTTAGATGCATTCACATAAGATACACATGCAGTACATCATGCGTGCACACAATGATAAAAAATGAACCTTTCATTTCCAAACATATAAAACAGAACAATTTGACATAAGAAACGTCATGGCTGACAAGTGCAGCAGCGTCGGCAGTCAAAATATGAAACCTGAATTAAAAAATGACTGCAAAGATTAGGAGATGCATGCGTTTTGCGCAATGCTTCAATGAGCTGTGTGCATCCACTTTTCACCAGCGTTCGCATGGAGTGGCGCCACCGATACAGCTTATAGCGTTAGCGCAAGAGGCGAATAGCGGCTGGAAAACCTGAACGAGTCCCCTGCCAGCGACGTTGCTGTACTACCTAACTTATATGGGTTCCATTAATACAGTGTAGACCACTCATAATAATACCGCTTATAGTGCAAAATCAGTTACAACGGGGTCTTTTCCGAGTCCCATTTACCCTCCCATAGAACCCCTGTGTACACGCATACCACTTATTGTGCAATCTCCTCAAGATGAAACACCCGTTACTTGACGAAGGTAGTAGCGAGTGCACGTCTGAAAGTAGGCATGCTGGGTGCGCTGCTGGGGAGCAAGCAACAAGGGCGTTAGAGAGGAGGAAGGGACGTGTCGTTAACAAGCAAAGGGTAAAGACAGAAAAAGAAAAGGAAAAGAAGGCCGCGGCACGCTGCACGGCCTCGTCGAGAAGGAGGGCGATTGCCTCGGTAACGGATAAGCTTTTGCACCGACGCCGATTATAGCATCGTTAGCGTGGCTTCAGCTGTGCGCAGCTTTACATGGCACCTGTGATCCCATCCTTATCAACTGTTAAGCGCAGTTTATAAATAAACTGCGCTTAACAGTTTCTTGTCGGGAAAAGCGTCGTCGCCATCGAGCTTGCTACAGATATCATGTTTGCTACGCGAGCTTTCGCCTTTGCTGCCAGGGCACTGTCATACGTAAGCTTTGCATGTTTTCGTCGTTGTTAATCTCCCGACCGCAAATGCTAACTTCATATATTGCACGCTGTTCTTGGTTCAGTGATGCGATCTCTTTGACGCCGGATCTTCATGTCTTCGTCGCACTTCCCGCAACAACATACCGAACAGCAGGCTAGGCCTAATCAGCATTGGTTAGGTTTCGGTGGTGGTCGCGTTCTATCTAAGTTGCGGTTTGATACGGAATCTACGGAACTCTTTGAAGTGGCTCCACATGATGGGAAAGAATATGTATCGTTAATCGAAAGAGGGTGACACGTGTAGCGCTTGAATGGTGGTTTGCGATTCAATTGGGACGTCTTGAAATCGGATGCGTGCCCGTGAAATAAAACGAGTGGCATCTTTCAGCACAGGACAATCCGAACATGATTTGACGTAGTCTGTGCAATGCACATAATTGAAGCGGTGTCAGAAGTAGTCGGCGCATTTACATGATGATGCTTTCTTTTGTTAGACCCACCCACTTTTTTCGATTTTCTTACATTGGCAATGCACCTTTCGACGTTAATTTTTTTTACGCTCACAAATTTAAATAATTGCAAGCACCATGCATTGCATGCTTTGATTCTTGGACACACAAGGCTGCATGCTCAGCATGTTAAGTGCAAGTGTGGCCCTTGAAAGAGGCTGTTTCGGTTATAATGCAGTACCCTTTATAGTGCGCATATTTGCGATGCGTGCAACTGACGTTACAAGCGGTCTTAGTGTAATGTGAAAACCACGGCAAGTAAATAAAATGCGATTACACCTAAGGAGCCACAGCCGGCGGTGTGAATTAACACTTAATACTTTTTTTTATAGTTGCGCTCGGTTTTAGCATATATTAGCTGTTGATGCCAGCGCTAGAACAATAGCCAAAAAGTAGCCAATTAGCCAACACCATTTTTCTGTTGCCGTGGTCTTTTAAGAATAGCCAATCTAGCGTAAAGTAGCCAAATCTCGCAACTCTGGCCCTCAACCACTGGGATGACTTTGCGAAGCTTACTCTCGTCTCCTTCTACATGACAGGTGTAGCGAAAACTTGGTTCTTCAAGCACAAGCTGGACTTCCAGGATTGGGCCTCATTTAAACACCACCTGCGCAGATTTTTGCGAATCCTTCTATTTGCACAGACATCACGAAGAAGATGATAGCGGAGCATGTCCAGCAAAACGACAAATCATACAAAACATACACCTCTTACACTAAAGATGTCCTCACTTTTTGATGCCAAGTGAACAGCTCAATGACAGAGATCGACAGGGTGTGCCGCCTGCTCATAGGCATTGGTGCTGCGGCATTCAACACACTTTTGGTGCAGAACCCTGCTACTTTCTTGCAAATTCTCCCAATGTGTCAGTGCCTTGATGAGCTCCAGCTTCTTGGTTTGCAGCCTGACACATCGCATCTGAGCACACTCTCCGACAGCAAGCTACATGCGTTCATTTGTACCATCGTACTAGAGGAACTCCAGGCACAAGCTGCACCTTGCCCTCATGAGCTCCGCATGTCGTTTTCTGGCAGTAGCCTTCACATCATTGTCAGAGAAGAACATGTTGCCATGAGGTGTCCGGAAGTCCCCTGCCGGGAGCCTCTATCAACACCAATTTATGCACAGGTTGCAGTGCTAGCCCCTCCTTCTGGGACACCACTCCACATGTCTCCGATGCATAGCTCGACTGTTCTTTCATCATGACCGTCGCTTCCACCTCCCAACGCCTGGAGGCCACCTCGACCTGTATGGTATTATTGTGGAATCCATAGCTACATTTTCCAGTTTTGATGACACCGCCAACAGGACGTAAGACGGGGTTGCGTCTGCTGTGAAAGCGATTACCTTCCAAAAAATAGTTGCCCCAACCAATGGTATGAACATCGCTCGCTATCTTTGCAGAGCCTCGAAACAGCCGGTTCTTCCCATTTTCCATGTTGCCGCTCTCCGTCACCGATGCGCTGTTTGTCTTCATTATGGAACTTAGTTGCAGGGCCCTCTTTACCGAATCGTTCTCACTTGCTCTTTATCCAAGTGAAGAGCATCTGCATGTTATGGAACAATTTTAATTTGGGAATTCATTGGCTATTCTTAGCTACACTTTTCATTCTGTGGTCTTTGTTCTATAAGCCTGCAACTGAGGGGCTTAAAGGACTTTGCTTGACCTCCAGTGCAAACAAAGATTGCTTTAGGTCAAAAGCTTATTAGGCATGAGAATCAACATCAGCCAGATATAACCTGCAGTCGTGGTGAAGTTAGGCAATTGATTTGGTGAGCATTTAGTATGTGTGGAACTGATAAGACCAGCTGTTGGTAAACAAGAATTTTCAAAAGAATTAGGGAGTCATAAATCGTATTAGTTATATTATTTTTGTGTGTTGCAGCTGCATGTTAAGCTTTTTTGTGTGTTCAGCAACATAAAGCACAATTGGTGACAGACAGTGCGCTGCTAGTGAGACTGGTGTTTGATCTTCTAGATTCACAAGTACCCTCCTGGTGGAGCCAAGATTCCCTTGCTGTCTCTTGGAGAACGCTTCCAGCCCGGAGGGGGCAAGGGCCACTTCTGCAAGCCGACCAGTGTGGCCATTGCAAGTGGAGGAGACTTCTATGTGGCTGACGGGTGTGTTACACTGTTCTTACTTCTGTCATGTTGTTGTACTCACTATTGTAAGTGTTCCGCTGTTGTGCGTATCGTCCCTCATAATATTGTATTTCCTCAACTTTGTATCTAATTTTTACCTGTGATGTATGGCTGCTTCCTGTAAGGTCTGCAGGAGACCTACAGTATTATTAAATAAATAAATAAATAAATAAATTGAGTGCAGTTGACTCTCAGTAAATGAAAATCTATTGAACGGAACTGTTACCTCTGCAATGTTTTGTTTCGGGCTAGTATTCTGCACCTATGATCACCTCTCAGTAAACGGAACTCCTGTTAAATAGAACATATTTTCCCAGTTCCTTCAAGTTCCGTTTATTGTACACTGCACTAGCCTTTGTACGGCTTTCTATGCTGTAGAGCGTGTCTCCTTCAGGAAGTCTACGCGACACCAATAATGAAATTTTTGTTTGAGAAGTTTGAGCGATCGGGTTCCTGGTTGGTGTCGGTTTCATGCTTTTGCTTCTATCCATGAGCGACCTTCACAGATTTTTTTTTTGTCTTATTTTTCAAAGGTATTGCAACTCTCGAGTGGTGCACTTTGACAAGGGAGGCAAGTTCCTTCGTCAGATAGGTGAAGATGGAGCGTTCTCTTCCTCTTTTGGTAAGCACCTCTACCTAGGGCTTCCAGATTAAGTTCAGTCCAAACTACGGCTTGACTCTTTGCAAGCTAGAAGTTCACATTATGTATCGAACTTGCACACGGGATCGCTTGTCTCCCTTGCTGTGATGAGAAGGGATGAATGAGCTCAATTGGGCTTTCAGTGACTGCCCCTCCCGGGAGCTTTGCCATCCCCCACAAGATTGTTGTGGCCGACTCAGAAGGGCTGTTTTGCGTGGCCGATAGAGAGAACGGACGGGTGCAGTGCTTTGACATTATGGATGGCTCCTTCAAGTTCGAGGTAAGACTTTGGCCACCCAAGGTCTGGTTTATACTGAAGCAGAGTTGGTGGTCACCATAGCTCCTATTCTGTACAGATTGCCATAGAAGCGTTTCGGGGCAAGGTCTACTCCATTGCATACAGCGGAGGCCTGCTGCTAGCGGTGTCGGGTCCTCGTGTCTTGTCCGATCCCTCCAGGGCCTTTCTCTTCAACCTGACATCAAGGCAGCTGTTGGCTTCAATGGCCCCTCCTAGTGGGGTATGCTATGCATTGTGTTCAGTGGCCATTGTCTTCTTTTAGGTTTACTTTATGAGCTTACTAAGGCTGCAGGCAAGTCAACATTTACTATTCACGCTCCTAGCCACATGTCTGTTCCCTCCCTTGAATAATTTTTTTTATCTGCCTTTCTTTCTTGAACATTAAGTCTGATCATTTCACTGGGATAGCAATTACATTGACACTCTTGGCTGGTTTATGCCGCCGGCGTCGCCGTCTCAGTTTATCTCTGCCGGCATGCCCCATATATGTATACAGTAAACTATTTGACGAACTCTGTTAAGACAAATTCTCGCTTAAAACGAACAATGCGAAAATGTTTGTTTGGCTTCCTACAGACTCAATGCAAAAAAGTCTGCTAAAGATGAACCGTGTAACAGGCTTCTTTTGTTAAGACGAACTCTCGCAGCGACTGACAACCAGAAGTATTCTGCAGTACGATTATTTTGGGCATGCAGGTGAACAAATGAAGGCAAATTAAAAAAAAAATGTATTGCAAAAACTCAAAGCAAATTGAAAGGAAATGGCGACGTGGAGGGAGGAAGAGATACGCAAGTGGAAAAGAAAGGTTAGCGAAAAAGTTGATCTCTCTCTCCCCAGGCCTTAAAGAGAAATGGCCGGCTTTATCAGCCACGAAAGCAAAAAAAAAGCATTCGTCCTCTTTGTATTTTCCTCGCATTTTTCAGTTTCTCAACACAATGGAGAACAGATGAGCACAAGAGCTGGGCTAGAAGGGAAAGTGCGAGGACAGGGGAATACGGGAACAAAGATTGTCTGTGCGTTACAATCATATGAAACACCAGCACTTCCATCAGAGAAGTCAGATGCATTGTCATCGCTGTCATACAATGATGCCTGAGCACATGTTGTAGTCAGTTTGCCTTGTTTTGCATAGGGCCTGTTCGTGTCGCATCTGTTCCCAGTGAAATGCAGCAAATTGTGATGCACCATTTTGTTTATGAAAGTGCACAGCAAAGGAAGGTCATTTTGCATACTAAGTATTGCTACGTCGTGTCTTTTTTTCATGCCCAAGGCTTATGATTGTAAGTAGTGTAAATGGAGATCCTAAGTTGCTTGTCATTTAGGAAAAGTTACTGCTGGCTGAAAATAAGAAAATATCTGAACCTTAAACAAAACCTTGCAGAGACTTTTATAAACAACTTGGCATATAATTGGCTTTGTCAAGGTAACTGTATGCAGTGGAGGTGTATCCAAAAGTAAAACAGCCTCTCTCAGAAGTCAACAGCCAAAAGAAGAAATTTTTCATTCCTTGAACCAAAATTGCGCTTGTCTCTCCCTTTTTTTATTTTTCCAATCATCAAAACATGGTCAGACAACAGTTTTGTTGTTAAAACATGGTAGCAATTTATTCATAAGCACATTTATGATGAACCTATGAAATCAAACACTCATTAGATTAGTGTAAATACTCTACTTAAAAGCATAGTTTTTATCAAGCTTAGCCAAACAAATGCTTTTTTTATTCCTTTCCTCCCCACTGTAAGCATACTCCATTCACTGTTTTGGGTGCACTTGGCATGTTCGTATTTGATTTTTGAGGGCACTTCTGAAAAGACGAACTCCTGATAAGACAAACAAATGATAGTGGTTCCTTCGAGTTCATCTTAAAGAGAGTCTACTGTATGTAGGTACTGTATTTACTTGCGTAATTAACCTACCTTCTTTTTTTTCCCAGAAAAGCTGATGCCAATTTATGGGAAGTGTTCATTACACAGGAGAAAAAAAAAGCCTTGGGAGTTAAAAGAGTAAAGTTTCGTATGACAGTATTAAGCAACTCGCTGTTCAACTGCTGCTGACATTTAATTTAGTGGCAGGGCTACGAAGTCTTTAAATTTATTCGAGAACTTTGCTCCTCACAAGCGAAAACTGCCCATGTTTTGTTCTGCGAAATTTGCAATGAACCTTTTTTGGAGTCCAAAGCTCTTCTCTAGTACTGAACACGCACGAATTGATGCTTATGTGTCATCTAGCCTCGTGGTTCTCATGTTCCAACGCGTGTTTGACCAACTATAAGTTTAAAACCGGTCATGTAGCTAGCATGCTGGCTCAACTGGCAGAATGACTGCCCCAGAAAAGTATTAGTCCCGGGTTTGAACCCTGGACCAGAACGAATTTTTCGGCAACTAAGAGTCTTTTCTTTTTGAGAAATTTGTATCATTGTGGCTTCGAGCTACTAACGGGTGGTTGTCTTCTTTCACTTTCTTAACCCTTCCACCACCTTGCAGGTTTCCGCAGAACTAGTTTGCTATCATAACAGCTCTCGACATGTTGCAGCAATACAGTGGAACCCCGCTGTTGCGTTCCTCACTGCTGCGTCTTCTCGGATGTTATGTTGTCTTTCATCGGTCCCAGCATAGCTCTCATAGGATCCGATGTATTGCGAACCCCGCTGTTATGTCACAACTGTGACAACATTGTTGCATGATGCGTCGCAACCTAGTCTGCCGAACTTTCCAGGGCACCACTATTTTGATTTGACGTTTGACAGTCTTAGCCTGGCTTGGCTATGTAACAGGCTTCAAAAAGCCGCAGGCGAGTTGAAGAAGTTGTATCTAGATAGCTATTTGTGAAAAGTGCTTAAATGGAAATATCACTACGGAATGCCAGAAGTGCGGGACAGTCCTACGGCCGCACGCCGCTCGTTGTGACTCGTCTTCAGTTGTTGTTATATGCACTAAGGCTGAAATTGTCAACGCAATCTGTGTCAAGCCTTAATGGCATCGTTAAGGTTCTCCCCAAAAAATTTTGAGAGGTGGACGGAGGGAGGGGGGGTCATATGAGCAATAACTGAATAATGAAAACACAAAATGTGGTTCTAGCGAGAGCTAAGGGGGAGGTGGGGCGGGTCATATGAACATGAACTGAATAATGACAATGAAACAGCAGACATTTAAGTACAAAAAGGCACTTTATTGCCACTTTTTCTTCTTAGAGATGCTACACCTTCAACCTCCTGTTCTTGCTCTTTGCCCACGTTTCAACAACCTCGTCGTATGGATAGGTGTCAATGTCAGATCCTTCGCATGCAATACGAATAAGGCAGTCCTGTTACTTTTCTTTCAGGTGGTTTTTTTAGTTGCACCATAAAGGGAGACACTGGTTTTGAATTTTTTTTTTTATTCTTGAGTATTTAGAGCTAAAAGGTTTATGTGATATGCATTTCTCACAGCTGAAAACAAATATGCAATTAGTTTTCAGCTGTCACTTCCAGATTTTAAAATATTGACTGTTCCATAACCTATACTCTGCCCTCTGTTTAGACAGCTTTCTCATAAAAGATTGCAGCAAATTAGATATGACAGTGTTCTGTAAAGAACAGGCAGTGCAAAAAAACCATAAGAGTTATGGCCTTAACAAGTAGACTCATCAGAAATTTGAAACTTTTGCTTAGTTATATCACTAAATAAACCACTATTCTTAATAAAATTATCATAATTGTTTGGTCTTGTTACTCTCATCAATGTATAAGCTTTCAAATGCTGCAAAACTTATCAAAATCTGACCACTAGATCAAAAGATACTGTAGGCAATGGCCTCGGACGTGATGAAAAATGTTGTATTTAGAGAATAAGAAAAGAAGTTTAGGGACAAGGTGAGCATGTATATTCAACAGTTAATGGTGTAAATCAGTGCAGTAATGATGCTAGAAGCCACCAGGAGTGTAGTCGTCGTCATTCTTTGTGCGCTTTCTTTTTATTGCATGCTAGATGTTTCCAGAGTTTTCATAGTTAAGTCAGCGTACCGCGCGCAGTCGTTAGTAACGTGCACGGCATCCTTTTACGAGGCAGGAATCATTCCCACTTTTATGGAATCTTCATATGTCTTTGCATCTCCGTGAAGCATTCAGGGTGAAAAAAAATTCAACTCAACGCAGTTTGTCTGTTTGCTGTGCCGCGCAAACCACAAGCATGTTGATCTCGGAATATCACATGAGATCATTGATCCCGGCTATTGGTCGCGAGATCAAGTAGAATCGCCGCCTGGCGGCAACTGGATGAAGTGTTGAAGTGTGGATCGCTCCCAGCATCGTCTGCTAGCGACGTCGCGTTTCTATGTGCACATACGTCATGCACGTTCTCAAAGTGTATTTTGTCCGATCATGTCAGCGTGAGTATAACTGCTTCTACATGTGCCTGAAAGGACGTACGAAAGCATTTGGTCTTGCTCGACTGCTAATGCATTGTGATAAGATCGGCGAGTGGAACTTTTGAGAGTGCTGTTTATTGTCATCATATCCTCCAATCACCAGAATAATTTCAGAGTGAGTGCCGCTTTCTGTTTCCAGCGCATCGCTTTTAAAATGCTGTTCGCATCCTCCCAAACATGAGGACTATAAATGGTGTGTGAATGCAGCATTTTATAGCAACTCGGTTGTAAACAAACAAAAAAAAAAGCAGGCTCTAGGTCATGCACTCGTTCGCTATTGGTAGGTGCACAACTACGGCACTGTAGGAGCTTTAGTTGTGTTAATTTGGCTGTGGTACCACTATATAGAAATGTTGCGATATCACTATCACATAAACTGTGTCACTTCGGTACTTAAACTGTACTTAAACTGTACTTAAAACAGAGTTGCCGTGCGCAAACGGGTGCTCAGATTTAGGAACCCTTTGAAGAGCTCAGATGTTCAAAATTGATTTATAGGGCATGCCTTATATATTATGTCATATAATTTCACTGAAAATTTCAGCTTTTTTACTTTATCTCTTGCAAGTGTGTCATTGTTAGTGACCGACGCAAGGCAGTGGTAATTTTTTGTAGGAAAAAAAAAACAAAACATGTTTGTGCCATTCACTAGGCCTTTCTTGTAGCACTGCTATGCACGCAATCCATCGATAAAAGCTTTCTACTGAACTCTTATATGAGATTTTTATATTTCACTGATGCAAGAACATGTGCATACACATGGTAAATGCAGTGTAGTGCAAAGCGCTGTCAGCCACTAAGCTTTCCTGACTAGT